GACCCCCCCTCGCTGGTCAGGTGACACTCCAGGGACCTGTGGCAGTTCGGTGGGCTCGGGGACCCTGTCTACGGGGTCAAGTAAAAAATTTCAAAGGGGGATCCTTTTTTTTTGGGGACAGGTGACATTGGGGGACTTTGCAATGAGAAGAGTAACATTTTGGTCCTTTAGGGGGTTTTAACCTTTGACACCTAAGGGTCCTGTATGGGGAAACAATGACACTTGGGGGCCCCCGGTATGGGGAAAGTCAACACTTGGGGGGTTTTTTAAGGTGGACAGGGGGGCACTTGGAGGCCCTTTGGAGGGAACATGTGACACTTGGGGTTTGTAAAAAAAGGGGGACAAGTGACACTTGGGGCTTTTGTGTTGGGGACAATTGACACTTTGGGGCTTTGTGCTTATATGGGGCGATCAGTTTGACACTTTGGGAGAATTGTATGTGAAGGACATTGTGCTGACACTTGGAGGCCTTGTGTATGGAGGACAGTGACAACTGGGGTTCTTGTATGAAGGATAAGTGACATTTGGGGGACTAGTGTGTCTTAGAGAGACATGTATTGGACACTTGGAGGAGCCTTTTTGTTAGATTTGGTCAATGGAGGACAAGGTGTGACACTTGGAGGCCTTGTATGTGAGGACATGTGGGACATTGGAGGCCTTGGTAATGGAGGAACTTTCGTGACACTTAGGGGGTCTTGTGTGTGCGTGACGCAATTGACACTTGGGGGCTTTGTTAAGGGAGACCAGATGACACTTTGGGGCTCTGTGTATGGAGGACATGTGACACTTGGGGGCCTTTGTCTGGAGGACAGGTGGACACTTTGGAAGGCCCTTGTATGGATGCGCCTACCATGTGACACTTGGGGGGTTCCCTTAGTGGTGTGAGGGACCATAGATTTGACACTTGGGGGGCTATATTCTATGGGGAGACAGGTGACACTTTGGGACCTTGTCTATGGAGGACATGTGACACTTTGGGGGCCTTGTATAGGAGGACAGGTGACACATGGAGGAGCCTTGAATGGAGGTCATGGGTGGACACTTTGGGGGACTTGTGCTTGGGGACAATTGACACTTGGGGGCTTTGTTACGGCTAACACAGGTGACACCTTGGGGGGCCCTGTTATCGCGAGGTAACAGGTGATACACTTGGAGGCCTTGTATGGAGGACATGGTGACACCCTGGGGGTCTTGTGTATGGGGACATATTGGACACTTGGGGGCTGTTTGTATGGGAGACAGGTGACTCTTAGGGAAACCGCTGTACCTGAAATCTGATGACACTAAGGACCCCTAGGCATTGGTGTCAGTGACACTCTCCCAAGAGCGACCTGTAGGCATGTTCATGTGTGATGCATCTAAAAGGGTGACCGAGTGTCTGAGTGGGTCAGTAATAGTAAAAACATTTCGGAATAAATGCTTAATGCCGCTAATCACTTGCATATATCCTGATAACTGTGTGCCTGTAATCCTTTTTCCTATTCAACGTCATACAGATCCATATAATGAAAGCCCGGCACTTGATTCTATTTAAAGTTATGATCTGACCCTGATCTCCACTGAAGGCGGGACTGGCCCCGAAGGAGCGTCGGCTGTTGAAGGTCATCTTGCATAAGCTGCACCTCTTTGGATTAATGCGGGTTCTCTGGCACCTCTCCCTGAAAGACCTGTATATTTGGCCAAACATGTGACAAACATAAACAGATCTACTAAATGTCAGAACTTTGCCTAGCAGAAAGTGATAAATCTGCCTACCGTGGCTGCTGCAGATGAATAAGAGATGAATGTGATGCTGCTCTGCTAATGGTGTGCTGATCTTTGCTAGATGAGTCCGATGTGTCGGGAATGGGGCGCCGAGAGAGTCTTTATACACACTAACAATATTATTTCATTGCTGTATGCATATTTATTTATTTCAGGTACTTATATATCGCCGTCAATTTACATACAGGCACTATTTTACATATATATTATACATTCACAGCAGTCCCCTGACCCTCAAGGGGCCGTACAATCTAAGGTCCCACTAACCCCTCAAGGGGCGTTACAATCTAAGGTCCCTAACTCTCAAGGAGCTGCTTACAATCTAAGGGTCCCCCTAACCCTCAAGGAGTGTAACAATCTAAGGTCCCTATACCCTCATGGGGCGTTACAATCTAAGGTTCCTACACCTCAAGGGGGCGTACAAAGTCTAAGGTCCCTAACCCTCAAGGGTCGTACAATCTAAGGTCCCAAACCTCCTCAAGAGGGGGCGTCACAGATCAAAGGTCCCTAACCGCTCAAGGGGTCTTACAATCTAAAGGTCCGCTAACCCTCAATGGGCGTACAATCTAAGGTCCCTAACCCTCAATGGGGCGTACAATCTAAGGTCCCTAACCCGCAAGGGGCGTCACAATCAAAGGTCCCCTACCCCTCAAGGGGTGTACAATCTAAGGTCCCTAACTTTACGCCTCAAATGCGGTGTACAATTATGAGGTCCCATAACCCTCAAGGAGCGTGGGAACAATCTAAGGTCCCTAGGAAACCCTCAAGGGACGTACAAATCTAGGTCCACGTTTTATATATAACTGAATAATTGGGCGCAGCATTGTTTAAACGTCATGCTCACAGGAACTTGCTTTTATTTTGGAATTTATTTCAGAGTACAATCTATAGTGCGACCTAACTACACAGCTTCTTTGCATAACACATACTATTGTACAATTAGACCAGAGACTCCTGACCCTTACCGAGTGTGTACAAACTGTCTTTTGAGTATCGTAACGCATGCATAAAAGACAGTACCCGGAAGGATACCCACGCAAGGCAACATATCGATAGAACAATCATTCACTCAGGCAGGTGGACTCGTGGGCTTGGATGCGACTATCAGCAAGTCTTTCGAGTACGGATGCCAGGCAGAGAGTGCTAGCATTTTAGCCACTGCTGCCGATCCTAAATGACTTATGTACTCGCTATTATTGTTACGTATGTAGCGCATTGCCAAGCTAGGCCATTACGGTATTCTAGCTTTCGCTGCCTAGGCTGTTACATCTATCAGATTAGAGAGTCTGCCAGTATCATTGTGCCGTCTACCAGCTGAGAGAGCCCATTGGTTACGCTTTTGATTGTTCTCCTCCCTTCACATCGTTGACCATTCTCAGACATAAGCAATAAAAACCTAAGACAGGGGGTCTCATACTTCTACGCATCCCTCCAAAAACTGAAGAAAAAAAGTTGGCTTTAAATGCACTTCAACTCCTTTTTCGTTTAGCAGGTGTTCTGTACTATAAAATCCATATTTTTTCGTTTTATATTTTTGTGGTTTTTGGTAACTTGACAACATTAAAAAAATAAATGTGTTCTGTTTGTTTGTGTAGCGGCATTGTGGCGCGCACTGCGAGTTATTGCGCACCTGCTGTTACATAATGGATGCTGCTGAGTTTCTGGCCGCCGCTGTCATGGAATGGACAAAATCTTTCGTTTGATCTCTGCTTTTCTTCGGGAGTTCTCGGACTCTTCTCTCCTCCAGGACGGGCTGAATACTCAGTGGAGGGATTGGATGTCGCCGCCTGTCTCCACAGCTGTGTGACACAGAGAGAGAGGTCAGGTGGGACTGGGTGCCCGGCTGCTGGAGGCGCAACAAACCCCCCCCCCCCACATGCCGCGGTCTATACACTCTCTAGAAATCCGCACAAACTGCTGCTGTTTAGGAGAATCATTCAGAAAGGAGAGACGTGCAAGATCGCCCGTGCAGCGCCCGCCACGTGCCTGGCATCTTCTGATGATTAATAAGTTGAGAGTGGTGGGCACTGACACATGGAGTCTTGGGGATGGCAAGTGATCTATGGATCCGGAATATATAAGCCTGATGGACCCTCACATAGCACAATCGCACAACGCCTTAAAGGGACAGTACACTGAGCTGCTAGAGACATTCATAAATCAGCATTGCCATGTAAAAGACTCCAAGAGCTCTGTGTCATTATGAGGAGTTCCCACTATCCCTGCACCTTCTGTGCCCATTATGAGGAGCTTCTACCATCCCTGTTGCTCAGTTCCCAGGTCTGTACACCTGCTGTGCCCATTATGAGGGGCTTCCACCATCCCTGTGCTGAGTTCCTGGGTCTGTACACCTGCTGTGGGGCGCATTATGAGGGGCTTCTACCATACCTGTGCTGAGTTCCCAGGTCTGTACAAATGCTGTTTCCCATTATGAGGGGCTTCTATACCATACCTGTGCTGAGTTCCCGGGTCTTGTACACCTTCTGTGCCCATTATGAGGGGCTTCCACCATTCGTATTGTGCTGAGTTCCTTGGTCTGTACATCTGCTGTGCCCATTATGAGGGGCTTCTACCATACCTGTGCTGAGTTCCCGGGTCTGTACACAACCCGCTGTGCCCATTTATGAGGGGCTTCTACAGTCCCTGGCTTGAATTCCTGGGTCTGTACACCCGCTGTGCCCATTATGAGGGCTTCTACCATCCCTAACCTGAGTTCCGGGTCTGTACACCTGGCTCTAGTGCCCATTATGAGGGGCTTCTACAAATCCCTTTCATAAGTTCCAGGGTCTCTAAACACTTGCTGTGCCCATTATGAGGGGTTCCCACTATCCCTGTGCTGAGTTCCCGGGTCCGTATACCTGCTGTGCCCTCCATTATGAGAGGTTCTACCAATTCCTGTACTGAGTTCCCAGGTCTGCATACCTGCTGTGTCCATCATGAGGGGTTCCCACCATCCCTGCACTGAGTTCCCGGTGTCTGCACACCTGCTGTGTCCATTATGAGGGGTTCCCACCATCCCTGTGCTGAGTTTTTCGGGCCTACACACCTGTTGTGCCCATTATGAGGGGTTCCCAGTAGAGATGAGCTTGGGTTTGAGTCCAGGTTCAGGCTGAACCAAATGTTCAGCCGAACCCAGGAAGGAAGGCCAATGAGCTTAGTTTATTTTATATTAAAGAGGACGTTACAAGAGAAGCTGGAACACAAACATTGTGGGTAGGAACACTAGAAAAGGAATGGAAGTGTTGGCAGGGAGATCTTCCAAGAGCATGCAAGACACATAAGTCACTTCTCCATTGACCACCAATGTAAGAGGACCCTTCTCCACTGTTCACCAATATTAGGAGGCCCTTTCCTCTGATCACCACTGTAAAGGGGCCCTTCTCTACTGACCACTAATAATACAGAGCCCCCCTCCACTGTCCACCAATGTGAGGGGGACCATGATAAATGCTAAAGGGTTCCCGCTCAGGCTGTCAAGACTCAATAATATGGATACCGCTGACTAGTGAGGATAAAGGCTGAGGAGAGGTCAGACCCAAAATACACAGCAGAAATAAGAAGAGATAGACCGGCCACCGCACACCTCACCTGGCCCGAGCGGTTAGTGGCTAAAAGCAGCCTCAGCTCAATTCATCCAGGCCATGTCCCCCATCATGTTTCACCCCCGCCCCAGGGACTTTATCATGGAGAATGTACAAGGGCCCTTCTCCACTGACCACTGTCACATGGAGGGTCTGAGATCACCAGCAAGCCACTTGTAAAACTGAACAGTCTTTATATACACAAATAGCCTCCCTCCACGCTCACTGGAGGCTGTGCCTGGACACCCGGTCTTGCTGACTGACACCCATTGGGGATCGGATCTGGGTCAGTGATCAGGACAGGGATCGGGGTGTGTGGTGTGTGTGGGGGGGGGGGGGGTGGGTAATTTGTGAAGAGTGGGGGGGGGGGTTTGTGAAGAGGGGGGGAGAGGGTGAAGGGGAGGGGGGTGAAGAGTGGGGGGGGGGATTTGTTAAGAAGTGAGACCTAGGAAGAGTGTGGGGAAATTTGTGAAGAGTGGGGGGGGGGGATTTGTAAAGGGTGAAAATTCCTGAAAGGTAAAGAATGAGGGGGGAAATTTGTGAATAGGTGAGAGCTGTGAAGAGTGTGTGGGGGGGGGGGATATTGTGAAGAGGTTAGAGCTGTGAAGAGTGGGGGGGGGGGGGGATTGGTGAAGAGGTGAGAGCTGTGAAGAGTGGGGGGGGGGGGGGATTTCTGAAGAGGTTAGAGCTGCGAAGAGGGGGGAGATACCTAAAGAGTGGGTGGGGGGCAGGTTTGTGAAGAGTGGGGTGGAGGGAGATTTGTGAAGGGGGAGGGATTTGTGAAGAGGTGAGAGGGGGGGGTGAACAGTGGGGAAGGGGATTTGTGAGGGGGGGGATTTTTGGAGAGGTGTAAAGCTGTGAAGGGGGGGAATTGTGAAGAGTGGGGGGGATTTGTGAAGAGGGGGGGACCTATGAAGAGTGGGGGGGGGTTGCAAAGGGGGGGTGGAATTTGTGAAGAGGTAAGAGGTGAAGGAGTGGGGGGGATTTGTGCAGAGTGGGGGGGGGGGGGGGGTGAAGGGTGAAAGCTGTGAAGAGGGGGGGGAAATTTGTGAAGAGAGTGGGAGGGTGGGGGGGGGTGGGGGGGGTGTGTGGGGGGGGGGGGGGGGTGAAGGGGGGGGGGGGAAATTTGGGAAGGGGGGAGGGGGGTGAAGGGGGGGGGGGGGGGGGAGTGAAGGTGGGGGGGGGGGGTTTTGTTAAGAAGGGGGGGGGAGTGTGGGGGGGGGGGGGTGGGTGGGAGTGGGGGGGGGGGGGTAAAGGGTGGGGGGAAAGGGGGAGAATGGGGGGGGGGGGGGGGGGTGGGGGGGGTGAAGGAGTTTGTGGGGGGGGGGGGGGGGAGGGGGGGGAAGGGTGGGGGGGAAGATGGGGGGGGGGGGGAATTGGGGGGAGGGGGATGGGGGGGGATGGTGGGGGGGGGTGGGGGGGGGGGGGGGGGAAGAGGTTAGGCTGCGGGGTGGTGGGGGGATACCTAAAGAGTGGAGGGGGGGTGGGTGAAGAGTGGGGGGGGAGAATTTGTGAAGGGGGGGAGGGGGTTGTGAAGGGTGGGAGGCTGTGAACAGTGGGGAAGGGGTGATTTGTGGGGGAGGGGGGGGTTGGGGGGGTGAAAGGGGGGTGGGAAGGGGGGGGGGGTTGTGGAAGGGGGGGGGATTTGTGAAGGGGGCGGAGAGGATGGGGAGGGGGGGGGGGGGGGGGGGGGGAAAAATTGGGTGAGGGGAGGTAAGAGCTGTGAAGAGTGGGGGGGATTTGTGCAGAGTGGGGGGGGGGGGTGAAGAGGTGAAAGCTGTGAAGAGTGGGGGGAAATTTGGGGAGGGGGGGGGGGGGGGGAGGGTGGGGGTGTTGTGGGGGAGGGGGGGGGGGGATGGGGGAGTGGGGTGGGGGGGGGGGGGGGGGGGGGGGGGGGTGAGGGTATGAGGGTGGGGGGGGGGTGGGCAAAGGGGGGGGGGGGTAATTTGGGAGGTGGGAGTTGGGGAAGGTGGGGGGGATTTGGGTGAGTTTGATTTGTGGAAGAGGTGAAAGGGGAGAGGGAGGGGAAATTTGGGAAGGGGGGGGGGGGATGGCGAAAGGGTGGGATGTTGGAGTGGGGGGGGGGAGGGGGGGTGGGGGGTGGGGTGGGTTGTGTGGGGGGGGGGGGGGTTGGTGGGGAGGGGGAGGGGGGGGGGGGGGGTTGGGGGTTAGGGGTGCAGATGACTTGCCTTGCCCAGGTGCTGATAACCCACACTACACCACTGGGACTTACCAATCCAGGGAATACTGAAAATCAGTCCCCTCTTCTCTGACCAGACTGCCCCAAAACCCCTCATCCTGCTTCGGGTGGGTGAGACCTCCTGAGTATGAAACAATGTTCTTGAGCTTTCCAGTAAAAGGACCACAATCAAATAGTGTGGAAATATACATGCAGTCCAGGACACACTCCTAGCGTCCTGTACACCTCCAATATTAGGGGGTCCATTCCACTGACCAACAATTTTAGGGAGTCCTTTCCACTGACCACCAATATTAGGGGGCCTCTGGTTCTACTGATATGAGATGGATGCGAATTATTCAAAAATTCGATTCGGCTGATTTTTTTTTTCCGCCGAAATTTGCGAAAATTAAATTCGATTCCCAATGCGAATA